TTGTACCATTGACATCTGAAAATACTTATTTTAACCAGGTTGGATATTGATGGCAAGAATCCCCGTGAAGAGCCAAAAGCAATAGTGTTCTTGTCAAGACTTCTAATCCTGTTCCAGGTTTGTCGGTCTTGCTTAAGCTCCAAGCAAAAGGTTGAGATCAACCAGTCTGGGACATATATTGCTGTGACAGCCAAATGTGAAAATTGCAACCAAGTATTTTCATGGGGAAGCCAACCAAAACTACTTGGGAAGTTTCCAGCTGGCAACCTATTACTCAGCCTTGCAGTATTGTGTGCTGGTGCCTCTATAAGGAAAATACTTCTGGTGTTTAAACATATGAATGTGTTGGCATTCCATGAGGCCACTTACTACTACCATCAGCGTCGTTTACTAATACCTACGATTGTTACATTCTGGCGGKCTTACAARCAAAACATTATAGATAAGCTTGCAGGAAAAGAAGTTGAATTGGCTGGGGATGGAAGACATGACAGCATGGGTCACTCTGCCAAGTTCTGTACTTATTCAATCTTCTGCTGTACTATTGGTCTTATTATTGATGTAATCCTTGTCCAGGTACTATTTAGAATTTTAAATGCACATTAAAGTTTTCTCTTAAATTAATTTGTTTTTAAATTAATTATATATTTTCAGTCCAATGAAGCCGGTRGCAGTACTGCAATGGAATTTCTTGGTCACCAAAGAGCCTTTGCTTACTTGTTAACAACTGGTTTGATAATCAAGTCATTCATTTCTGATCGCCATAAATCGATTGCAAAGTGGATGAGAGAGGAATGCCCAAAAAAGTGTAGAGAGGTTGGGAAACCTGTGATAAACCATTTCTTTGATTTATGGCATGTAGCAAAAAGYAAGTAAATAAATTTATTAAGTAGGTTTTTTCACACACAGAATGGTTGGATAARCCCATATKAAGGCACTGTAATCTGGGAAAGCCAAAATAAATATAAACTGGAATGTTAAAAGTTATCCACATGCAATGCCATGTTTTCAGTTAATATTTTCTTTATTTTATAGAAATTCAGAAGATACTCAACAAGTTAAGCAAGGAAAAAACATGTGAGATAATTGGACGATGGTCAAAAGCATGCGTAAGGCATTTCTACTGGTCAGTTATTTCTACGAAGGAACTACTAGGTGAAGTGAAACTTGCAAAGTTTCAAGCTTTTTTCTGCCATGTGGTTAATAAACACAAGGAACTTCCAAATAAATTATTTAATGCCTGCCATCATGGTCCAGTCATTCAAGAAAAAGTTTGGATGACCAGAGGTAATGAAAATATTGCTATTCATTGTTATTCTTTAAAAGTTATTTCAAGAAATAATTTTAAGTTTATACCTATTTCAGGTTCAGAGGCATATGAAAAACTAGTAGAGGCATTAAGTAAGACTGCTCTAATTAAAGCGATCAAGAAAACGTCATCAAATGGACAGACAAGTTGCCTAGAAGGCTATCATTCTGTAATAAACCATTTTGCACCAAAAATGCTAGCCTTCTCTTATCTTGGAATGCTTAGCAGGTAGGAACAACAAATATGTGTAATACACRATAGTTAGCTTGTAATGGTGTTTTAACAAAAAAACATCCAACAAGTAAAATAATATAGTACATACATGAAACATACTGAGAAATGATACACAAGCTATAAAACATCACATAGTAAATACTTTAATTAACAAGTAGAGCTCATCCTAGTCTTCATCTGTCATGTCCTTAGAAAAAGAAAAGAAAACATTAATTTAGTTAGTGACAATAATAAGAAAGTAATAACTCATATCATTATCATACCATCATTATTGTACTAACTCAAGCTCTGTTTGCATAACAGAACCATTTTAGCAGCACTTCATTTCAATTATAATTTGAATCGAGAGTCAAAAATTGATGACCATGGGGAACCTCGCCTACGAGTGCATTATGCAAAGCATAAGTATGGGGAAGCCACAGTAAAGGAAGCGAAAACACCACAGAATTATGGTATGTTCAATTCACTCAGACATATTTGAACTATTTCTTATGGAAATAATTGCCTATATATGCTGCACCTTTTTCACTGCTAAGGCTGTATTCATTATGTATGCCAGCGGTGGGAGGTGAATTGTTTCCCAATATAGTGTAAAATCTCATGCTTCACTATATCACTATCAGACAGAGAAGAATGTGAAGTCTATCCAGTGTACAAACAAAACATAATTCAGATCCCCCATACATAATTGATATTCAGCCAAATAAAGCAAATATCACTTGATTTTACAGATTATGTCTGTGACATTTATAAAAYGCTAGTGGAAACACCACGAAATGACCTGAAGCAGGTTGACATAGAGCTTAAAGAAAGTATACCTGAACCAGTGTGCTCTGCCTTGGATAAAGAGTCACATTCGGATGCTATCACCAAGCATAAGAAGAGAAAGTCAATGGAAATTACAATAGTACCACCTACATGTACAGGTATTTATAGCTACTCTAGGCACTAGTTTCTTATTGAGGGAACAAAATTGATAGAATCACAACAATTTTGTTTTTCTTTAGAACAAGAATTACAGCAAGGATCAGCCAGGGGATCAAATAAAAGAAAAGCGCCTACGTGCCGAACATGTGGAGCCCCCAGAAAGGGACATAAGAGAGGACAGTGCCAAACTGACTAGTAGTTTACTCTCTGAAGTTTATTCTTAGTTTTTACTATGTTGTAAGCAATAGTTATCATACTATACCTCTGAATCGTTCTGTTCCTCTTCATCTTCTTCTTGGAAGCCTTTATATTCTCCATCTTCAGAGGGAAATCGAGCTCTAATAGYGCTGTACGCACAGCATGGTAGGGGAAGCCGCTTTGAATTTCCAAGATATTCCCAAACCAGTCGGGTGAACTGCCGATATGATACGGATCTCAGAAACCTATGTGAATATTATATTTTTTTAAGCATTAAAGAGTAAATCAATCGATTACCGGAGACGTGTACGAAATYATAAATAAATAAACACARAATTGACTTGATTAGCACTTACTGAGACTTAGTAGCACGTCCTTGTTCATAAAAGGAAGTATAACGCTGATTCTTGCGCGTTCTCAACCCTACAGCAGCGATTTCCAGTACCCACTCATCGAGGCAGCCAGGACTAAAACCAGGGTGAGCGGTGATACACGAAGGAGGCTCTCCAGGACCTTCTTCGACCAACTGATTCAGTTTTTCCTGGCATTGGTCAATATCGGCGCAGCAAAAACACTCCTCTGGCTTTGTGACGAGGTCCAAGGAACAACGAGTACACTTGCACCTACAATGGCAATAGAAACTAAGTTAGTAAGTTTTGAGAATGTAGAATACTATAAATTGCTATCTACAATATGGAAACTYTCTGACATACCATGAGCGAACTTCCACCTCTTCTTCAAAGCGTTTGTTCAACATAGTAAGTTGCTCTTCTTCTTCGGCTACTTCACGTTGATATTGCAGGCTTTCTTCTTGAGTAGCCACCGGCTCAAAGTCTTCAGCACCAGTGGAAGTAAATAATTCTTCTAGGTCTGAGCCAGAACTCTCAGAAACGTTGGAAGAACTCGAAGAATAGGTCTCATCCGCCATGTTATCTACTAAATTTTACTAGTTTACGAGACGCTTGTTGAGTAAGTGACGTCACAAGAAGAAACCGCTGACGCAAACTTGCGGGCTCGGCAGGCGACAACGAAGCAATGGCGACCAGCGATTTTTCATGAGTTTTAAGTCGAAAATTTAACCGTTTTCTTTCTAAATCGACGAAATTTCCGTGAAATAAGAAAAATCAGGTTATATATCACCACCTGGGTTGAAGAAATTGGCTTTTAAAATTGACCAATTTTCGTACTAGTCCCCCTTTAACGAAAGATTATACCTCATAGAAATCTCAGAGTTAATTTGGTTCTAAGATAATTACCACAAACAAAGAATTGAATCTCTACCTTCCATGCGCCGCCGAAGACAACTGTGTGTATTTGGTAACGCCATAGTCGACTGACCCCGTTGATTCACTCTTCTTTTGTAAATTTACTTCATTTTGTCTGTCGCTTGTCTTCAAGAGATCCTGACTATTGGTTGCCAGTTGCTTCGATATGGATCTAGCAGTGTTCAAAGCCTGTATATTCCCCATTATCCGTATACAAGAAGCATGACAGACCGAACGATGGAACTACGATCGGTCAGTCGAGCGGGTTACAGTCACGGATGACTAACTTAATGTCAAAAACTCAAACGGCCGCCCGAATTCATCCAACCAAGAATTACGAATCCTAAATGTATTCAGAAAATCGAATAACAAATTATCCAGTAAGAATGGTAATTTTTCCCCCCTGAATATGAATACACTCTGAATACACTCTACGCTTTAGAACGCGACGACCGCTTACAGTCTGTAAACTAAAGATACTGTATGACCTCGTGTGAGCATGCTAATTATGCGCGTGACGTCATATTAGAAAACCTGTCATACCGGTTTTTTCTAACCCGCAAGGAATTTCTGTAACGGAAAAATTCATCATCTTTGAAATTTTACCGCCTAAAACATACCCATTTCTTTGCTAGGCTAGATGATGAATCTCATTGTATTCTTCAATATCAAGTTAGACTTTAGATTTCGAAATAAGGACAAGAGCACGTGTTGCCAATGATCTATCACGTTTACATCACATGACTAGTTATTTCCCATCGACTACCGGGTTTCAAGATTTAAATTAACCACGATTTCTCGATTATTTGTAAAAATCAATACCATAGTAGTTTGTTGGCAATAACTACTTGTGTTGTTAGCGTTTGTAAATCGGTAATTTATATATTACCTAGATTTAAGATCGTTTTTGGACTTTGAACCCTACACGCCATGCATTCAAACTCCCTCTCTACGACCATTTATATCAGTCGTTGAAGTGGATCCGCGACATTTCACCGACTAGGATTTCAACGACCGTCAATCACTAAAAGAACTACAATAAAGAAAACAATATCTTGAGGAAAGTTTTTAATCCTCTAATTTTTTTGATTCAGTTGGCCAAAATCATCCGAAATCATCCTCAAAATATATATTGTTTTTTTATTTCAGTTCTTTGATTGACGGCTGTTGAATGCTAGTCGGTGAAAGAGAAATTGAACTCGCGGGTCGCACTTCAACGATAATGGTAGTAATCATGAATTAATTTTGTAATCGTCGATGCGTCCGAACACGTACCAACGGTCGTACAACCAATTTTCTCCTGAGTGAGTGTTAAACCAACGTAATCAAGTCTCTGAAAACATGTACATGAGTGCACGACTTGAATTTCAGAGTTGGAACAAGTCTCAAGGCTCAATTTATTTTTCCCCACTGATTGAATATATAATTATGGACGACTCCCAAGTATCAAAAGCTTTCGGAGTTGGAAATTTTGTGAACGACGGACTCATATTATACATTGACGGCCGATTTGGCATGGTATTCAGTTTGGCATAATTATGAGCTGATTAAAACCCCGCCGTCTTGTCCCCTCAAGGTTGTCTTCCATGAATACGATTTTTTTTATAACTGCCATTCCAGTAGTCTCCCTCGCATCCGTTTTTAGACAACCACAGGGCTTGGTTACCTCTTGCTGATTTAGTTGTACTGAGTTGAGAGCCAGTAGTCAAACTATATCGAGTAACGACTAAGTACTATCTTTGTTCTCTGGGCAACAGGGATCCTATACCCAAACAGAATTTGACTTGAACTTAGAAAAAGCAGGAACCAATCCCGCAAACAAACCAACACACGAATAAACGGTACGATGATATTTATTCTCTTGACTACATCATAGTTTATACACTCTACGTAAAACGCTATCTTTCGACTAAAAAATCACAAATGGCTGAATATGACTCTATGGCCAGTGTCTCTCAGTACTGACTGTTAGCCTGCGTTCGGCCGACATAATTTTTCTCGAAATACGGTTATTATTTCGAGAGAAATTATACGGGCTGAAAGCAGGCTATAGGAAAAAACAGAAAACTCTATGGCCAATCTAATATAAGACGAAGCCTACGTTCCTCTTGATCAGCAGAATCTAATATGGTTTAGAACCTGTGTTCCTTATGACCAGCGGTAGTTTTAGAAGCCAGCGTACCTCAGTTTTAGCACGTTACCAATGCAACAAAGCGTCGACCAACTAAATGGAAGCTTATCTGTTTTCTTCTTTTTGATTGGTTTTATAACAAGAACTAACCAGAAGTGAGTCATGGGATATGAAAGTTTGTTGTCTTTGCTTTCTCGTTTATTGTTGCTGACCAGTAGATAACGAAGGCTCTAAAAAATAAGAATGACTACCACCAACTGCGTGTCAGTCGTAGTTTAATTGATAAATAACGTTCCTAGAACCCAAATATGTTTACTTCATTTTGTCAATACAAGTAAATGCTGTGGAATTAATATTTGACAAGATGGCGTAAGTATGAGATAGCCACATTGAATAACGAAGACTTTAAAAGCTACATCTAACAAAACACAAAACGAACGAACAAAACAAGGCATTAAAAATTATTCTTAAGTTTTTGATGAGGTCATTATAATCCAATAGCAGGGAGTCGTACAGAATGTGGCTTATGCCATCTTTTATTTAGTAATCCCCTGCAGGTGCCATTAGTATTGACCAATATGAATAATTTCGATGTGTGCATGTCATTGGCTTCCCCATCGTACTGCAAACATTAGAAATCCCTCATTGGAGATTTAGTCAATGAATATTTCAGTAGCAACCAAATCCTATTTTGACGGCGGAGCCAAGTTTTTGTTTAGTGTAAGTAAAGTCGAGAGTAACTGTCAAGCGCTTTACGTTTTCAGCTTAGTTTTCTCTTCAATTCGCTCACTGAGTTTTGTTTTATAAAGTGACGAATGTACGTAATAGTTCTAGTACGGCTTTGCATTTTATTGTACGGRTGATACGGATATAACAGTGTCATAGAGCTTGTTTCAGTCAAAAACCCCAAGTAGATTGTTGATGGATTAAAACTCATTCTATCTCGCGGTCTTGAGCTGACAAGAGTCTGTAGCTTCATGTTAAAATACTTTTCTGTTTTCAAAACCTTTTGGAGGACTAGATAATGTTCAGAGGGAAAGTACGTACATCAACAAGAGATGTTCATCAGCATTCGCTTTGTTGTCGGTCTGGAAGTGAAAAACAAGGAAAAGAACCTGACGAAAGGTAAAGGACTTTCGAAATGAAAAACGGCTATAAATATCCATTATTATGAATGATATTGTTGATTATCTTTCTCGTGTACTCAGGGAAAGCTTGATTGATTGGCAAGGAGTTGGCTTCAAATTTATCAAAATTTTGACAAGAAATCCAGCTTATATTAACCAAACCAATGACTATATGTAAAATACTCTAGTTTGGATATTCCATTTGCGTAGATGAGAAAGCAATTAAAAAACAATTAGGAAGAAGTAATCATTAGTTGTCACATAAGAATATATGGTTTTTCACAGCGGTTAAAGACTTGAATTTGTCTCATCTTAGTCTGCTTGTTGAATAAAGAAGTAGTTGGTGATAAGATGAGACGATGGAATGATCGATGATTTTTTTGATCACTGGCTCAGTTCCTTCACGTATACGAATAGAAAGAAAGAAGGGTGGAAGGAAGGGAGGAAGGAAGGGAAGAAGGAAGGAAGGAGAAGGAAGGAAGTAAGGAAAGAAG